GGTAAGGTGGAGGGTCAGAGAAAAAGAGGAAGACCCCCAGTGAGATGGATTGGCCAAGTGGTAGCATCAGTGGACTCAAGCATGGCAGCAATTGTGAGGTTGGCCCAGGATCGGACAGTGTTTCGTTCTGTTGTACACAGGGTCGCTATGAGTTAGTACTGACTCAGTGGCACCTAACAACTACAACCGCAAGGTTGATGGTTCGAACCCGCAGGCCACTCACTCCATAGGAGAAAGAAAATGCCGTCTGCTTCCATAAAAATTTACAACCTCAGAACCCATAGAGGGCAGTGAGTGGGTTTACTATATGTAAAACTGTGTTGAGAGGTATAGGATGCAAAGGACCAGAGTTCTGATCCTTAAAGATCATAAAACCTTATAAGGGATTGTATATGATTTTGCAGGAGAAACATATGAAGGGGCCTCAGAAAGTTTGTGGGAAAATGGAAGTAACAGGGAAATTTTACTATGAACTGTCTGAAGCCCCCTCGCCTATATAATAAAGCCTATACGGCAGAGAACTGCCAGGGAAGGACAACTCTGTACTTTCCACTAAAACAAGTGTAAGAAAAGGGATAAGACTATCCATGTTGTCAAAGATAGGAAAAGGGGGAGACCCAGAAACACAAGGCAGGCCCCTCGGCCACATCCAGGCTCTCCCAGGTTCCAGTGCACAAACATAAAGCAAATAGCTGCGTCACCTGGAAGGAATCACATCTGCAGGACCTAAGTGTGTACTGACTGCATCTTTATGATCCTCCTGCTGGCCACGTAGGGCTGTCACAGGAATAACTTCATATGGGGAGGTAAGTTTTTATCTTGGTTTTGTTTGAGCTGAGCTAGTGTCAGGGTTACCATAAATGTTCTTGATTATGGTTTAGAACCTGTGATTATAACATTTGGGAGGTCACGGCACGGGAGCAAGTCTCAGAATTGTGAATTGGTGAGACGTGTTTCCTCTGTGTAGTATCCAGTATGTCACCTGTATAGTAAAGACTTAAAGTAAGTCTATCTGTCAAATGGATCCGGCCCCACCTAAAACTATAAAGAAGTGAGACGTGGGTACTGAGAAGGGTGGCCAGCAACTCTCTTTGGTACGGTTGTTGTTGTTGTTAAGTGCCGTCGAGTTGGCTCGGACCCATAGCGACCCTGAACAGGGTTTCTGAGGCTGTAAATGTTTACAGGAACAGAAAACCTCATCTTTCTCCTGTGGAACAGCTGGTATTTTCAAACTACTGACCTTGTGGTTCGCAGCCCGATTTGTAACCACTACGCTACCGGAACTCCTTGGTAGGGTAGTCGTTTTGTATTGATTTGATCTGAATTGTGAAGTAGCAGTTGGTCTTTGCTGGGCCTGGTGGGGAACAGGACTCTGGCGTCCAAGAACATTCTCCGTTTTCAACGTCAGGGTAGTTTTGTGTGCATGCCTGCGTGTTTTCTGTGCATTTTAACCACATCTAACCTGCTGTTTCCCCCCTCCCCTCTGTCTCTCTCATGCTCTTTCTTTTCCTGGACGCCAGGAGCAAAAGCGTATAGACGGCACGACCCGCGAGGTGAAAAAGGTTAGAAAAGCCAGAAACAGGCGTCAGGAGTGGAATATGATGGCGTATGACAAAGAGCTTAGACCTGACAACAGGTTGTCTCAGAGCGTGTTCCACGGCGCATCTTCCGAGGGATCCTTGTCCCCAGACACTAGGTGTGTGTGCTTATGGCTCCTTACTCTCGGGCTGCGGGCCTCGTCGATTTCACGTTGGGAACACAACGGTCTTTATGTATTTAAAACTTAAGCACACTGGTGTTTACGTGGCCTTAACAACTAGCGTTTCAGCCATGTTTGGGCTTTCAGATGCTACTTCACACCCGTTTTCTTTTACGTTGGATTACCTACCCCCTGTGGTTTCTCATCGCTCTAACTGAAAATGCATCGCTCCATTAATCTAGATGAGGAGTCTGAACATTGAATCTGAATCTGAGCCCACAAGTTCAATTTTTATTTAATAAGCATGTCATTTAGCTTGTCACTCGGTAGCTAAACATGATTGGTAGATGATAATTAATGAGATTATAAAATACCTGCATTCTTCTTTCTGATAACCCTTTTAAACAGTGATGAAGAAAAGAGGCCTTTATTTTTTCAGATACTTACTCTTTGGTACTTTAATTTTTTAAGGGGAGAATTCTGTTGGGTTTATACACTTTTTAAATCAAGTAAACCTTTTTTGCAGGTGTGAACGATGTCACTAAATGACATTTGTCACAAACGGTATCCATTGGCTGACAGGAACGGAGACATCAGCTTCAAACTCTTGTCTTCATTTCCTATTTCTTCTTTTGTAAAACTGCAGTCTTTGATTTTCATAAGTTTTCTGTCTTCCATCAGTGTTTAGAAATTCCAGTGGAGAATTTTTATAATAATGTTTTGAAAGCAACAAGAACCTGAATTTGACTTTTAACTGCGTCCTTTCTGTCTTCCTGCCTTTGTAACCTCATTTAGCCCAGACTCTGACAGAGACAAATGCTTAATAAATATTTTCTGATTGAAAGACGTATTTGATAGATACGACCCCCTCAAATATTCCTACCCCAACAGGTGTACAAGTTCCGACAGAGGACATGAGACACGTGCAGGTATATTTTTCTGTACAAGCCGTTACGTGTAAACTGAGAGAATCGTTAGAACTTTAGCTGAGTTCTGGATCACATTTGTATTTTCGTGCTGGTTTATTTCTATACAATTCTCTTACGTTTTTGGAAGGGATGTGTGTAGCTATAACTTGTATTTTGTGTTTCCTGTTACGTCAATTTGCTTAAAAAAATTTTTTTTTCAGCTAATTTGTGATTGTTTATACATGCAAAACATATATATATATATATTTTTTTTTTTTTACCACATATACACACGTATTTTAACAGATTCCATCCTAACAGAAAAACCCCACTAAAGTTCTCTCCTTTAGGTGAAATAACTGATATGCATTCTAACATGTGAGGCTCGATGGTTCCAAAATGGATATAAAATTGATGGTCTTGCAGCTTATTTAATATTCTGCCTATGCATTTATGTTGCTGAGATAATGTCTTCATTTATTTTAGTTTTCAGGAAACAAATGAAATGGTGCTGTATTTCTTCAGAAATACTTGTATATTGGTTCCCAGTGGCTGCTGAAATACATATGTTGTCATGGCAACTTTATGTGACAGAGTAGATCTACCGTAAAGTACAGGGTCAGAGTAAGAGAGGGAGACCTCCAACGAGATGGATGGCACAGTGGCTGCAGCCGTGACGCAAGCGTAACACCTGTGAGGATAGCACGGCGTTTCCTTGTGTAGTGTGTAAGGTCTCTGATTCCATGGCACCTAACAACAACAACAGCAATGGGCTTTCAAGGCTGTCAGCTTTACAGGAGCAGATTACCTGGTCTTACGCTCCAGGAGTGGCTGCTGGGCTAGAAATGCCAACCTTGTAGTTAGTGGCCCAGCACTGTGGTTCTAGATACAAAATCCCCAAACCAAACCTACTGCCTTCAAGTCAGTTCCACCTCAGAGCAGCCCTATAAGACAGAGGAAAAGTGCTTCTTTAGGGTTTCCAAGACTAAATCTTTACAAAGCAGACAGTCTCACGTTTGCTCCTGTGGATGATGGTTTGAATTGCCGACCTTGAGATTAGCAGCCCAATATCTAACCCACTGCGTGGCACGTAGGCCAGCATATGTCGTCAGCAGTATCCAGGGTATTGAGTATTTATATAATTTAACAATATCTTAAATCTAAATATAGACATCCCACTAGTACGCAGGATTAAGCACTGGGTTCCTAACTGATAGGTCCGTGGTGTGAACCCACCAGCACAGTCCTCAGGAGAAAGATTAGGCAGTGTGGTCCCGTACAGATTTACAGCCTTGGAAACCTGCTCGACTCTGTCCTGCCAGGAGTCAGAACCCACTCAAAGCCGTGGGCTGGTTAGCACATGGCTGCTCATCAACGGCTCCACAGGAAAACGACCCAGTGATCTGATTCCATGAAGATGCCATCCTAGGAAAC